TTTTGTGCTGTCCAAAAACTTACACTTTTCAGTCAGAACTCGTCCCGGTTACGAGTTCCTGTTATTATATCAATATGACGGTATTTAAGCAACCACATTGTGCTGCTCGGGTCAATCAGAAGAAAACTTTTCTTTTAAACCATTAAAATATTTCATTTTATTTAGCAAAAAGCGATGAGATCTAAAAATAGAATTTACTTTCTTTCATTAAACTTGTTATTATGCCAGAAAACATTCCGAACTGGAATATGCGAAGGAATTTTTGTACGTTTCTTCCTTCTATAGCTCTTGCTTCATTTCCATGTCAAGTTATTGAAATTTTTCTTCGTACTAGTGATTCAAAGACTCGTCTTTTGCGTCGCATTAGATAAAGGCATATCAATAAACTTCATAGAAAGGTCATCGAGATAATTCGATGAGTGAGTTTATAAGCTTCCTGAGTTTCACACTTTATAAAGTTTCAATGAAAAAAAAAAGTATAATTCCAAATAATGTGCTGACCGAGACATTGGAATCTCTATAGAAATACTTTGCACGTAATAAAATATCTTAACGGCAAGTGGTAATGATGATGAAAAATCGTAAAAGAATTTCATTCTATCTTCAGCTTATTTAGTATGTCATATTCGCGCTGACGCCTGCATTTTCCGTGCTACCAAAATCCAAAATTGGCATTTGATGGTTAATCAATTGTTGTTGTAGATGAAGCCAACGATATTGCATCCCATACCAAACGTCAGGTCACAATTCATGCTAATTGTTTTGTTTTTATCTGAATGAATTGACTCTTGCTTCCTTTATCGAATCTTAAATTGAATGAAAACTTAATTTTCGGAATGGCAAAAGGAGAAATAAATTAGACTTGTGATAAGAGAGGGAAATGACTAAATTGACTTGTATCAATGGAACACAACATAAACATTTTCATCGAGCTAATTGAAATGTTTTTCATATCTTCATCATTTATTGAGAATGATTAATTTCTGCCATATGCTAAAGAACCTATGTTAATTGATTCAAATGCGTTAAGTGGTCTTTGGAGACAACAGCAACAGAAACAAAAACATTATTTTAAATTAAAATCAATTAAATTGTGATATTTTGAAAAAGCTCTGCTTTTATCTTGTTTGTGTCATTGAACAGTCACCAAGCAACGCTATGATTTATGGAAAATGTATAAAACATTATCTTTGGGTATTTGCTCGTGTCACATGCATTTTGTATGAAGATTAAGTAAATATTCCAACATGCTTTAATGCACTTTCATGGAATTTAATATTTTATCGAGTTTTGCACTGTCATACGTGCATGACAGCATGTATGAGACTTTTCTTGGAATTTTCCCCAGCTGAAATAAGTAAGTCAATGTCTCTTACGTCCTATTGCACCAATCACCTGTGCTTATTTCTTTGTTTGAACTAATTTCATTCCACCCTCAATGACAAACAGAAATTGTGTCAAAGAGATTTGTTAAGAGAATTAGATTAAGCCTGCGATTGATAAAAATTGTTTACCAATTCTCAAAACTGGAATTTATTGATACGTGATTGTTGAGAAACTCTTTGTTGCTTGAAAATGTTTAATTCATGATTCTAAAGGTTGTCATGCAAAAACGTATTTGATTTTTTAGGAGCATGTGTATGGTGGACGAAGCTAAATAGGTCGGGACTCTCTCGAGATTGAAATTTTTAAGAGATCTAAATTCATACCCCTACTGCCTTTTTCACCCTTGTGCCTAAAACTTTAAAAGGAAGAAATGTTTTCAAAGCTTGTCATCGACTTTGTGATACCCCTCTCCCTAGTTTTCGACGTCATATAGCAGATAGACCGACCACAATAATTTACAAACCCAAATTGCCTTTATCTTGATCACCAGCATCGTAAATCGAATGTTGTGTCGATAGATATTTCCTACGCATTAATTCCATCGTTTAAAGAAAGAAATTTCCTTTTTGCCTCAATCATTTAGCTATTATTGTGAAAATAGAAAGAAAAGCAGCTTTGAAGCCACAAATTGTGCTAAATCAATATGGAAATTTTTCGCACGAACTGCTGTTTTAAATTTTTTTGTTTAATTTCATGCCTTCTTACTTCTGTTTCTTTTTCCTTGTAACACACACCCATTTTACTTGCTGGTGCTTTTAAATGCTCAAGTTAATTCTCATTTCATATCCAACAGCAATAAATTCTATAAATTAATGGAAATTGTTTTGTTAACGAATGGAAATAAACGAAATGAAGGAACTTAATTAGTGAAATATCCTTGAAATAAATTAATTATATCGAAATAATCGTTGAAGATGTGTTATTAAAGATTAAGCGGTTCATTCTTGTTTAAACGCGTTCTGTCAGTGTCTGTTCACATATAACAAGCTCGAATTAGATGTGAGACTTTAGTTATAAAGTGTTATTATCTTTTATCGATTTCTTTAGTTCCTTACGTCTTGCCTAACTCCTTGAGTCTTGTTTATGCATGTTATCTTTTTCGTTCAGGACAAAGAACTTTTCAAGTGTTTATGTCTATGAATTTCAATTGTTGAGTAATTGAAAGGTTTAATCAGAAATGATCGATAAACTTTCACGTGTTGGCTACTTTGGACTCAAAGGTGCTATAAATAATTAATCAGTTAATGTATGAATAGGATTTATGGCTCAGCTACTTTTTACCTGTTGGCATTGACCAAATTGTTGATATATGATTGATATTTCTTTGAATTGAGCATCAATTGATTTTATGTAATATTTCTGTTGCTCAATCAAGTCATGACATCGCAATAACCGGTAATATTTGCGCGTCATTACTATGGTCATTTACCCTACAAAAGCATAACAATACAACCTTAATTTCATTTAGTACTTAACGTCTTTATATAACACAGGCATTGCTTTAAGGTTTTAAATTCTTACATGACGCTAGTGCCTTTATTTTTAGCTTCCACAATAAACACTAATTAAATGATTTTTCATTGATTTATGACATCAGCGATTATCGCGTAATCTTCACAAATTTCTGTTTTCTTGTCATGGCAAGTATCGTGTGTTCATGCAGTTTGTGTACACGACTCTTAAATTAGTTGATTTATTGGCGATCAGTTGATGATTTTTTAAATAAATTAATTACAGAGATCATAAAAGTAGTTTACGATGATCGTGATTTATGGGCAGTAAAAATTCGCAGAAAATTCAGATTTTTATTTTGTTCTTTTTGAGGTCATCGGAAATTTTTAACTTTTGGAATTGATGGCAACTTTGTATCATGTCTGGCGTTAATTTACAAACTTGCAGTCACGGTCTAGCGTTAAAAAATCAACAAACCATAATGTATAATCTTAAAAGCATCAATTAGGAGTGAAAAAGTAGTTCAAAAGTATCAGAACAGGAAATAAAGACAATAACATTGATCCAATTTCATAACAAAATCCACAACTGTATGTGTGTGGCTCTCACATAACTAATTATAAATGAAAACAAAGACGGCGAAAAAATGAGCGCCCGTAATGAATATCCAAAGAATTTAATGATGAGGTCTGGTCAGGTTTTATATACAATACTTCTTTCTCTCATTTCTCCCCTTCCTTAAATTTTTTGCTGCGGTATGCTATTTGGTTTGAAAATGCGACGCAAAAGTTTCATGTTCTGTTCCTCTTCTTTAACATTTCATTTTATTTTTGTACAACAGGAAAAGCTTACTTGTTGCGGTATATAAGATGTTATTTTATTGGACTTTAGAATAACGCGTGTCTATATAATAACATTAATTTTTTAAAAGAATTTGAACCACCTGCAGTCAATTCTAAATTCATAAAAAACCTGTTGCGTTTTTTTTTTGTTTCTCTTATTCGGCTATTAAGAGTTGATTTCCAAAATGTCTAACAAATCTGGGAGGGGAGGCGACTCTGAAAATCCCATATCTTGAGGAACATCATAAATAAACAGTGGCAATAGTCGGCAGGTTATTTTATGAATGAGTCGCATATTAATAAAAAAAATTATCATGACTGCTCACACACGCTTCGCAGAAATTTATTGTGAATCAGTTATTTTGGACGGCTATGCTGTGAATAAGCTGAGAAAAATGTATTTAATATAAAATATAAATAATCCATTAATAAACGTATCGAGGCTTTAATTTGCATACACAAGTAAAACAGATTCGTAAAGAAAAAATCACATTCGCACACATTTTTGTGTCTCTCCTTCAACTGTATATTTTGTGCCTCCTCCTGTTCAGTTTAAACTGGATTTCTTTCATTTCTATCTGTTTATCACCATTCATCTATTTTTGGATACTTTATGAATGCCTCATGCCCCTCTTATATATTTGTCTTTCTTTTTGCGTAACTTCTTCTCTCTTTCTCACCTCTATTTTTATTTTGTTGATTATTTTTGGCGCATACAGCGCCGATTTATTTATATTTGGTTTTCCTTCCTTTTTTGATCCACCGAATATCGCTGTCGACGAAGAAAAGGTTCAGCGTCAGTCAATATTTCGGAGGCTAGTTTCTATTTTCAATTTATTTCACAAAAAAAATGCTTAATAATTGTTTGTGTAAAATGAATGATTTGTGACGTCGTCGACGGTATGACTGATTAGAAAGACACAAAAACAAGTTTGTGTACATTTATTTTGGGGGTCAAAACGAGCGAGATTGAGATTGTAGATTGGAATTAGCGAGCCTTTAGATGCCATAGAATATATAATGTATTATGTGTTGTGTACTTCGACTTTTTAAAAAATGACAATTTTTTTTTTGTATGGAAATTAACTTCGAGTCGATTATCAAAATTTAAAAGCAGCTGGCACATATGTCATGTGTTTTTTTCTTATTACGCTTACGTATTTACCAATATTTGCTTGAAAATACGAAGCCGGTCTGGTTCTGTTTTATTCTTCTTTATGTGGATATTTTTTTCGTAATTTATATTGTCACTTTATTGCCTATAAATACAGTTGAGCCTTTTTATTAATGATTATCTCCTTTTTTGTGTCTTTTTAATAGGTAAAGATGGATCTAAAGTAACCACAGTTGTGGCGACACCCGGACAAGGTCCAGATAGGCCTCAAGAAGTTTCATACTCTGACACCAAAGTCATCGGAAATGGAAGCTTCGGTGTCGTCTTCCAGGCCAAACTGTGTGACACTGGCGAATTAGTTGCCATTAAAAAAGTTTTACAGGACAAGAGATTCAAGGTATGATGATGTGAGGCTTTGGGGGAGGTTTGGCTCACTTGTGACGTTTGCTTATTTTTGTTTAAATCAATCAATTCTGAAACAGAAACAGCCTGCTAGTTAAAATACGTCACTTGTGAATGCCAGTTTAAAAGCTTCCCAACAAATTTAATAACAATCTTGTTTTTTCTCATTTTAGAATCGCGAACTACAAATTATGAGACGCTTGGAGCATTGTAATATCGTTAAATTAAAGTACTTTTTCTACTCAAGTGGTGAAAAGGTAAGAAAATTTGAGCACTTAATAATCAGATAAAATAATAATTTATAACTCACGTAATTGGCTGGATCTCTATTTTTATAACAGAGGTTGAAGTTTCACTCACAAAAAAAAAACTTTTTAAGTGGTTTTTTTTTCATGTGGAAAATTGTCTCGTTATTGATATTTACGGAGAAAAACTTTGTTCAAAAGTTAAATTTGCTATGTGCAATCTTGTTCATACTTCAACCGCTGATATTTAACAAATCCATTAATTCATTTCCTCATTCTCTCGTATTTTGTGTTGTTCATAAAAAAAAAATATCGAAAAATTTTCAAAAATTTGTTTTTTTGTTCTTTTTTCTCCGTAATCTTATTTTTCATTTATTTTTTTGATTCAAATTTTCTTCTTATTTTCTTTCTTTTTCCGTTCTTTACATGTTCCTTAAAAAAATAAAAAAAAAATAATAAAATCAAACAAAATTATCACATGTAATTAACATAGCGACCAGACTTACCAATTCCCGATTTGGGTGTTTTCGCTGGCTCGCTTCAACTTCAGGTCAGATGGTTCAATAAAACGAAAGAATATCGTTGACAAATAAGCACAAGTTTTGTTAAGAGCTTTGGTTTTAAATTTAAAAAAAATGAATTTTTTATATGCTTTCTCAATATTTGCCCCTAAAACCATCAAATTGAATAAATAAAATAATGATCATCTATAGTGTCCATTGTAAATTGCTCTTTTTTTGAAAAAAAGAATTAAAAAAATTTCATATTAACTCGCTCGTTTACCCTTCATTCTTAATTCCTCCATGTTTTGCTCATGTTCAATATGTGATATATTAATGTTTGAAAAACGGGTAGCATAAATCAGTAAAAACTCGACTCAGAGATTGAAGTTTGAAGATTTGTTGAAACTGGAAAATAATTCTTTATAATAAATTGGGAAGTTTCCATTGGAATTTCTGGAAATACGTACGTAAATTTTTATTGGAAGTTTAAAATTATGTATGTTAAATTCCATTAAAAGCTTGAAATTCCGTACGTAAATTTCCATTGGAAGTTTTGGAATAGCCAAAATTCCATTCAAAATAAAAATCAATTTAAAACTCAATAAATCATCATGCAAGCTGCTACAAAAGGCATAAACTTACTAATATTTCCATCAACTATCCTCTTAACTTCTTTATCTGATTCAAAAAGGAAGAAAATTGAGTGAGATAGCAAAAGAGCTTTTTTGGTTGCTATTAATCTTATTTTAGTATCAATTTACTGACTTTAGGTAAATCCCATTCCCTTTTTGTCATTCTTTAGACGATGCTTGAATGGATTGATATAAAAAATTGAATATTTTTGATTTATGTGAAGTTATTTAATTCAATTTCTATTTATTTGTCTCTTTTATTTCAACAGAAGGACGAAGTCTATTTAAATTTAGTGCTCGAATATATTCCAGAGACCGTCTATAAAGTGGCACGTCAATATGCAAAGAATAAACAAACGATACCAATTAACTTTATCAGAGTAAGTTTGACAGCAATAACAATGAAATATTGAACTCGTGATATAATTGAACACTTGTTGTTTTTCTCATCTCTTTTATAGCTTTATATGTACCAATTGTTCCGAAGTCTCGCATATATTCACTCGTTGGGCATTTGTCATCGTGACATAAAACCGCAAAATTTACTATTGGATCCCGAAACGGCTGTGCTGAAATTATGTGACTTTGGCAGTGCAAAACAATTGCTGCAAGGCGAACCAAATGTTTCATACATTTGTTCGCGCTATTATCGGGCGCCTGAATTAATATTCGGTGCTATAAATTACACGACAAAAATAGGTGAGTGATTAATTGATTTTTGGGTGTGAATAGTTGAACTAGAATGCTTTACGCAGTTAATTCTACTAGACGACATGTGATCTGTATATTGAGTAGAGTTCCCACACCTTGCTTCATGCTTTCATTTAAAAATGAAGAATTAGCATTAATTTAAGAACTTTTAATTAAAAAAACTAATTTTATAATTCCACAGACGTTTGGAGCGCTGGTTGCGTGTTAGCTGAATTACTACTTGGTCAACCAATTTTCCCTGGCGACTCAGGTGTGGATCAATTGGTTGAGATCATCAAAGTATTGGGGACACCGACGAGGGATCAGATTAAAGAAATGAATCCCAATTATACTGAATTCAAATTCCCGCAAATTAAGAGCCATCCTTGGCAAAAGGTACGTACAGCTTCAATGTTAATTGTTACATCCATAATTCTCTGTAATTATCTCTTCATAACTCTTTTACTTAAAATCATAAAATAGTGATGACACTAAATCGTACTTAAATTTAAATTCTAAAAAAATTCTTAAAACAAAAAATTTCCTATAAGAAGTAAATTTGACCATTCTCAGCCTCGATATCGACTTCATTTCAGTTAATGCTTGAGCGAAAGTCGTTACCGTTCTCGTCCAAGAAGCATCAACGTATAAGAGTAAGCGAGATGTTTTTGACAGTAACTTTTGTCATAACTTTTTTTTATATACTTTATTTTTTATCTCATCAAAGAATTGATCTTGAATGAAGCAACTGAGTCAAAACTATTAATTATTCAAAGTCCAATAAAAAATATATTCAGATGCTATTTCAGAAGTATCGTTCATGTCTCATCAACTTTACTTTTATTAATTAATTAATTCGACTTTCTAAACAAAAAAAAATATGCTCATTATTAATCTGATGACATCGAATGGAGGTTCCAAAAGTTCCATGTCCTCTCTAGTCGTGAGTCAACAAAGGCGCTTATCGCTGTGTATGACATAAATAAAGCAGGTCGAGTTTAACTCGTGATGATGATGATTCATAAACGCAAAGATGAGTTTGAACTGGTAATATCTCGTATGTAGCTGCTATGATGCGGTCTGTTTGTAAATTTTCATTTATCTCAACATGACAGACTAGTCGTTCAAGCTGTCAACGAGAATATTACGCAGTCATGTGATTTTTCAGTCGTAAATTATTATTTCCTTGGATTATTGCGTGTTAATGAGATATGAATTTTCAAAAGGCTTTTTAAGAAGTGATTTCAAGGAATAAAATAATTAATTTCTAGACATAAAGATTGAGAGAAGTTAGATTAGCTTTGTTGCGTATCATACTAGCGTTTATGTGTCTATCTTATGTACTGTTTTCCTGTGTCTGCAATATTACAGAAAACAAATGGATCCCTATCTACGCCCCCTCAGACAAGTATTAAAAAGCTGCATCGCAGCATTTTTGAATCTAGAATTCTAGTTTTTCGAGGTAAAGATGCTCAAAATCTCATGTTTGAGAGCTAAACGTCTGTTCAGTGTTATTGCCGTTAAAACGACAACTTTGCGATACTCAAATGATGTTTTATCGTTAAAGTTGATTTAAAGCTTCTCGTTGGAAGCTTCAAATAATAGTTTATTGAGCTATCCTATAAATCTCGTCAAATAAAAAAATTGCTTTGTAGAAAATTTGACCCAAGACACTAGTCCATTGACCTAGAGAACTGGGACAAAATAAACATCAAATCCCATCGTCCCTAGCTTAGCACATGCAACTTTCTGAACAATCCATTTTATATTTGATGTAGTTTATTCAGCAAAAAAGTTATTTCACTACCAGCCTTCCATCCTTAACATTTCATTATTAAGAAGCTTTTAGATATTTGATTAGAATCGAGATGCTTTAGAAGTCGAAACTTTCCTTCAAAAAATGCTAGCTTCACTCCTTTATTGTCCTTAGTGCCCAAGCCATTAGACAAACCCCAAAGCTTGAAGCACAGTTTCTCAACAAAAAATTTTTGGAACCTCTATTGTAGATATTATCAAATGCCGCTTCTAGATCTATAAGACTACATTGTTTGACTGAATTGAATAAAAAAATGTTTAGCTGAATATCTTAAATATAAAATTAAAAAGATGTTAAAGACATTCTCATCATTACATTTTTAGCGCATCATTAAATAATCTTAAACACTCTTATTTCACGTTTACGTTAATGCATCACTGATGGTAATTTGCCGTAATGTTTACTATTTTGTGATTCTTGCACATCTTAATATAAGAACTAAGTTTAATAAAAAAAAATTTGTGACTTTGTTTACTGCTTCTCCTGACACCACACAATATGAAAAAAAAAAAAAAAAAATAAATTTTACATTCCGGAACATTAACTATTTGCAAGTTGCCGTTGTTATGCCTCGCCATTATGTTAACTGAATCTTTTTTCGCAAGTCGACATCAAGAATTGAGAGTGAGCCTGTATCAGATGAATTTTAAAAAAGTTTTTATGATGTCATTTTTTTGGTGTTATCACTTACATAATTACTTCTGTTCATTAATTATCCTCTCTGTCATGTTTTTTTTTATTGTTCTCGTCATGTACTTTTTCTTTTATTAACAAGTTTTTAATTCATTGTTAAGCCAAATAAACGCTCTTTTATTATTTACTGCTGGCTAATGGGGTTGTTGGCTGGGTCATTTCAGCATTTAAGAGAGAAATGTGGAGCGATTGTAGTCAATTAGGAACAGCAGAGTTTTTTAATTAAATTTGTTAATTATTTGAGTTGGAACATGCAGAAATCCCACTAAAGTTATGTTCAGAAAGTCTTTTAATTTTAACGGAAATCTGAGATTTGATTTTCCCAAAGCTCAAACTCCGAATTTAACAAATTTTTGAATATCAAAAGCTCGTTATTTTGTCAAGTCTTCATAATTTTAAAGCCTTCATAAACCAGCAACAGCCTTCTCCTACTAAATACCAATTGACTTATACTGAAAATCTACCCATCATTCGTATCATAGCCTTATTCATTCGTAAATTTTGTTAACACATGACTAGCCTCGTACCATTAAATATCGTTATGATTTATCATGTCCATGTTGCTTAATGAGAACTTTTTTGTAATTTATGTTTTTCCATGTGTGCAAAAATATGACAGAAATTGAAATATTTAATGAACTACAGAAATTTTTCCATTTAACTCGCCTCCTTTCCATGCATATTGTGAAGTTTGCTTAACTGTGCATTTGTCTTGATCCTTGGAATTGTTTTGTACAAATTAAACTTATCCACAAGAATCTTTACAGACTATGATGTAAACTATTTAAATTAATTAAATTTCTTTATTTCCATTCAATGCAAATTTAGGTGTTCCGAGTACGCACACCACCAGAGGCAATTGCTTTAGTGTCACGTTTATTGGAATATACGCCTGGCGCGAGAATAACACCATTACAAGCTTGTGCTCATCCATTCTTTAATGAGCTCAGAGAGGGTAACAAGACATTGCCCAATGGACGTGAATTTCCACCATTGTTTAATTTTACTGAACAGGGTAAGTTTTAATGCTCAATTTGAATCTATAATGTAATTAATTAAATTGTATTTTGTATAGAATTAGCAATACAACCATCACTAAATGCTAGCTTAATGCCACGCAATCCAAATGATGCATCAACCGGTGGACAATCATCAAGTGGTGATCAGCAACAACAGGTGACTCAACCAACAGACATAACAGTTGCTGCCGCAGCTGACTCAACCGTAAAATCGGATCAAGTGTCAGCATCGTCAATGGGTTAGCTAAAATTAAAATTAGATGAATTTCATTTAACAGATGAACATAAGAAAGCTATCGTCGATAACTGTTTATAGAATGAATAATAATATTAATGAGAAAAAAAATAAAATTAAAAAATTTATCTAACTACAGCAAAAAATATTAAAAAAGGTGAAAAAAATTACAAAAAAAAATAAGTGAAAAGTTATGGAAGAAAAGTTTATTAATTTAAAAAAAACTATTATTATTATTATTATGTAAAACTAAGCAAAAAAGATATAAAAAATGGAAAAAGTTTTCTCTCTATATGAAAAAAAAATGATGATAGACACAAGGAAATCTTATCACATTGCACTTATCACTTTTCTTCGCGCGCGTGGCGATGATTTTCACACAAAAACACACATTTAAACAAAAAAACGGTTATTTATTGAAAGAAATTATAATAAACAAATATCAATGTCATCAACAAAAAAAAAGAATCAATCAAGAGACAAAAAAAAAGGCATAGAAAGAAACTACAACACGACAAAACAATTGTAATAAATTTAATTTCTTCTTAGTTTAACTTTTATAAATTAAATTTTTGCATCAGGCTTAGTTTTATTTGAGTGATTTATGTTGATTGGAGTCGAAGGAAAGTAGTCTAATGTAGATATTATTTCAATTTTGAGAAAGATTTGAATAGATTGTAGATTTAACGGTAATTTTTCATTGGAAAAACTTTGCTGTTGTATGGTTTTGAACGAATTTTTTAAGTTGTTGTAAGGTTTTAAATCAAAACTGGCTGTTGTGGGGTTTTCAAAATATACTTTTTTAAATGATTGATTGTGAGCGAGAGAACCATACAAATTCAAAAGAAGCAAAAGCTATTGTAAGGTTTTGACGAGTTTTTAATCAAATAAATTGAATTTTTCACCTTACAACATTGAACTGAGAGTAACTCACGATCTCCAATCAGCTTAAAGTTACCCAAATCTGTTCATAGTTTTGTTCATTTTATAAAAATGATTATGACGAAGTTGCATGCAACTCTTGTTTTTAAATGTAGGATGATGAAAAAAAGGTTTAACAAATTTACTATTATGATTATTATTATAATTATTATTCTTTTTAAAAACGTGATTGAAAATAAGCAGAAGTTGAAGATAAAAAATACACATTTTGATGATAATCTTATTATATATAAATATATGCAAAAAAAATGAAAAATTGTAATTGTAATAATTTAGTGACTATCCAGTAGATAACAAAAGATTTAAATAAACAAGAAAAAAATAGCGAAAAAAGTTTACAAATGAATACGTTCTTTAAAACATATTTCACTGTATTCGTAAAAGAATTTAAAAATCATAAAAGAAAATATTTCACTTCCTCTTTTTTTCCTTCATCCCTACCCTCCTTAATCGAATTAAATAATCACACAATTTGATGATGAAAAGGGAATTCATACACATCTAATACTTCCATCCTTCTTTTTATTGTTTATTTCAAGAATGAACATTATGCAAATTAAATAAAAAATTATCTACAAAACAAAAGAAAGTCTCGAAGTAATGTAGCATCTTGTAGAGCTTCTCATGATTGAATGGAATTGATATTAAGTATGCGAGATTAGAGTTGAGTGCTAATGAGTTTGTTCACTCATAAATTACATGGAATTCATTCAAGGTTAGTCTTACTGGTTGTTGTCTTCTGTGTAAGGGGGTATGGAGAGGTTGAAAGTTGTTTTCTGACAATACACAGTTAAAAATTCAGGCAGTGAGAAAGCATCAGTGATGTTGTCGATTCTAAGTATCCGAATTCGATTCAAGTTAAAGTCTAGTTGGATCTGGGTGCTTTTTCGCTTATAGCAACTCGATTTGTGATTCAAGACGCATAAATTGTGGCTAGGTGCATTTTATTGATATATGCTGGGTCTATTTAAATGTAAAAGTTTAATCAGGTTGTAGTAGCTACTCGCTAGATACCTTAAAGTTGCTGAATCGGGCTTTAATGAGTGTCATGGCTAGTTTTATTTTATTCATGATCGGCGTTTTTTGGTATGAAATGCAACATTTAGATTGTGAAGTTTAAAATTGGGAACTTAAAGACTAAATAGATCTAAGTCGCTGGATTTTGAATTTTGTGCTTCTGAAAAGGAAAAGAGACGTCGAATAGCACTTTAGTACCTCCAAAACCAACCAGAAACTCGCATCAAAATTAAAAATTTAATATGAAACCTCTTACAAAATTCGCTACATTACCCCCCGAGATGACCTCCCCCTAAAATATTATGCAATTTTAGATGAAAAACTATGACGATATTTCTTTAAAAAGAAACAAAAAAAAAACTACATTACAAAAACTAATAATAATAAAATAATAATGATTTCCAACAAATCATTTCTAGAAATTCGAGTCACGTGTTGTAATCGCTTAATTAAGATAAAAATAAATAAAAAAAAGGAAAAGAAAAAAAAATCTTTATATAAAATTTAAATTCTCATTATAAGTCGAAAAAAAAGATGAAAAAAAACTATAGAAAAAAGAGTTTCAAATAAAAAGTCTTTAAATTTAAAAAACAAAACCATCATGAGAACCTTTTTTGTAGATTTTTAGGGCCAAATAATTCAAAGAGAGGAAATCATTTATCAGTTAATCAACCAACTGTTCTTTTATGACTGTAAAATAAGATCGTAGGACAAAAAATGAATTTATTTCACTATCGTTTATCAAATTGAAGTAATTAGCTGAAAATTAAAGGCTTAAGTGATAAGTATGTGTCGGGGATTGCAGCTTGTTGACTGAAAAAAAAAATCATTTACCATTTTGATTTTTCACATCTTTTGAAATTTGACTTTTCTTTTTTGAATTTTCAAAGCATTTGTATGGTTTTCAAATTCAAATTTTTTCCGTTATTTTTCAACATTGTATTCTCTTTAATCTCATTATTATTACTAACACTTAAAACAGCTTCAATTCCAGACATATACTGATCCAGAATGTTGGAAATTCTAAAAGGATGGTGACTGTTTTTGTTCAATGGAACTTGAAGACTCGATGCTAAGTATATTAAGCACAATGATTGTTCATGTTGAAGTTTTTGAAGTAGCTTTATTTCTAGTCTAAAATATGAGAGAAAATTTTTATGAGACTCGCTGGAACTGCTCTGGCTATATCAAAGAAGCTACAAGAGCCTCAACTAGAACAATTTTGTAATTCAATAATTACATAAGAAATTAACTTATTTGAAAATAAAAGCATCTTGAAAATGTTTAAGGTTGTCAATAAGTAAACGAAGAAGCATGACTAAATATAATTAATTTTTTTATAAATCAATGATTGACCAAAAACATAAACCCATCAATAAGAACAGTTCCAACGACTAAAAAATGATGATCTTAATGAAGAAAAAAAAAACACAAAAAAATATCAAAAAATGACGTAGAATTTGCCACAATTTATAGGATGACATTAATAAAATAACAAATAATGCTTGGATGACGATAACTTCATAGTTTAATGAACTTTCAACAAAAGCTCTTGTTAATGAGCTTATTTATAGGCATATTAATCATATGCTAACGAGTGAGCGTCTAGCACTTGCAAGGTTAATTTTGTTTGGTCTGCCAAATGCTCTAGAAATTAATTATGCATTACTAAGTGACAGTTGGCGGTTCTAGAGTATCGATTTGAGCTTTTGACCGAAGAAAAAAATAGTTGTTCACTGAACGAATTTTAAATTTTTTGAATTCTTAAAAACTGTTAAAAAATTGAATTTTCAAAAGCTATTAAATTTTGATTATTAAAGCTTCACGAGGAAATAATTATGACAACTCTGTAATCATTACTAAAGTACTCTACCGACTCAATAACAACCAACTTTCAAAGTCAATAATAATTGAATTTAAAAAGTTATAGACACTGAAGTGATTAAACAAATGAAGTGTCAATTACACACACAAAGTCATTGGAAATGACCTAGATTACATTATTATGAAAATATGAATAACTAAAGAGGATTTTTAATGGTTTCATATTTCAAGTAAAGTATGTCAGCTATTCAAATTGTTCCTGGAAACTTTAGAATGCGAACGGAATTTCTAATGATGTAGAAAATGAATGTCAGCTGTATTTTCCTTCAATTTAGTCTTGGGGATTTTTTAAAGTTGCAATTTATGAAATTCAAAACTTTAATATTCTCATTTATTAAGTTTTTCTAGAAATATTTTCTTTCAATTAATTGCCTTGAAACTTGAGACCGAAGTTGTTCGATTTTAATAATGGTTTTTGCTTTCTGAAACGGTTCATGTGTGTTTTCAAGCTTTATTTGATTTTTAGATGGTTCATACTGATAAAGTGAGTTATGTTCTACGTGATTTTGCATTGAGAACTGCAAAATTTGACATAAATTGTTTTAATTTGCAAGAAATGACAAAAAAATGGATTTATAAATTTAACGGATATTTCATTTTCAAAAAGTTATGTAAACAACTTTGCATCTTTTAAAATGACGCAGAAAAAGTTTGCGTCTTTGAGAACTGAAGCAAAATACGTTCGCATCTTCAGCTTTTGATATAAAAATCTTCGCCTCACATAATAAAAAGATGCAAAATGATTCGCATCACTTATTTTCAAATTTTAACGGCTTTTCTTTACTTAAATCATGAAATCTCACAAATTTGCATTTTAATTGCACAAATCTGAAATAATTCACAAATCAAAACTTTATCATGTAGAAGAACTCACAAACAAACAAGTGTACAGCATAAAGAATTATAAATTTTTAATCAATAAAAGTTCTTCACAATGAAATATGATAAACTTTTATAAGAACAAAAAGTTGAACTATGAATTTTTCAGTTTTCTGATCAACAAAAAAAAAAGAAAATTAATTTCTGCATTTTAAAATTTTTATTTTTCAATATAAAAGAGAGAATTTTACATTAAAATTACAATACAAAAGAGAAAAAAAAGTAAAATTAAGCAAAACAGAAGCATTAAAAAGTTAAAGTAAAAATAGGGAATAGCTTTCTGTATA